CGAATGTTGATGCTTTCACCGTTAGTGTGGACGCACAAAGTCGAATTACTGTCCTTAGTGTGGACACACACGTTCGACTTTGCAATATCGATTCCAAAAATTCGATGCAAGTAAAATCGAACTACTCTCGTAGTGTAGACAAGGCCAAATATAACAACAACTTTGAATGATAGGAGTTTCCACCTGGTCTCATACAAGATGCCTGGACTCCAGTACCAATTATACCAATTTAACTTTAACTCTGAATTTCCTGTGTTTATAATGGTTGTTTTTGGAATAATGATAACATTCTTGTGATTTTTTTTCCTTATGTTACTCAACTTTAACTCCATCTTAATATTGTTTTTTCTGCTGGGAATTATAAAAATAAGTCCCTGGCTAAGGATTATCTCCTTTAATCCTTTAGAATTCAGAAGTGGTCATCAGAGACTTGTTCCCTCCCTATTTAATTACTGGGCCTAAGAAATATAAAACAACAGATACCAAGAAAGGGGATATGAACACCAAAAAAATCAGATTTATTATTCATGAGTTATGTGCAAGAAACATGGGAGGATTATAAAACAAGAGCAGAACACAGTCAAACAGTAATATAATACAGTATACACAAGTGCGTACAACCTAACAACTTAAAGTTAGCAGTACCATTTAGGTACACCTACATTTAAGTAGGCATTTTACCATCAAATTCTCATCTGGACATGGCTGCCTAAGGAAATTGCCACTGGTTCTCTCTCTAGCACATTGGAGTATTTGCTAATTCTCATTCTTTATGCCCTTCAGAGACAAGGATTGGCTAGAAACTCCAACCTGAATGTGGGAATCCTTGTTTGCTTTTTCTGTATCATGTACCATTGTCAATGAGTCAGAGACCCCAAACTCTCGTTCTTTCGAGTCTTCCAAGGCTGAACTCCAAATAGTGAATCAGCATCGCTATCACAATCTTCCTATGTTTCCAGCTCTACACTAACTTCAGGCAGTTATGGTAAAATCAAAGAATCCCTAAATCTGCATCTTTGGGGAGAAACTCTACAGACTTCAGAAAAAAAAAAAACATTAAGCTTATACCACAAAAGCAACATGGAAAGTAGGAATATTTCTGAAACACTGTAAGAGCAGCACAACTTAATTGCTTTTTATTGTTATGTTTTTTAAACTTTGCAGATTGATACATGCAGGCTGTGGACAGGGTTTCCATATATTTGGTTCTGATATATATAGTGAGTGCTTAGCCTTATTCATACCTATGTCTCAGTCAGTGTAACAGGTTTCTCAGCAAGTAACTCAGTGATCTAGACAACTAAGTAATGCACATTTGATCAGACAAACATATTTAGAATGTTCACATTAATAAAAGCTACTCAATTTATGTGGTACTTTAGATGCCCATGCAGCTTGGTCAAAGATAGGATCTATAGCATGTCCCAAAGAGGTAACTTACACTTCTCAGGTCTACTCTTTTTCCGACGGTAGAACTACCCTAACTACTGTCAGAATCCAACTATTGTGTTAGAAATTTGGTTAAGAATCACTCCTTTATAAACAACATTTTAGACTGAACTGTTGCTCACTACTACTTATGCAAAGAGTATATCTGTTGCACACAATATTTCAGAGACAATCTTTGTCCTGCAAGCAGCAGCAGTAAGGGCCTTGAACTGGTCTACATTCTACTGTATGAGTGCTAACAGAACATCTTCAAACTGGTTCCAGAATATTTTGAAAATATGACCCAGAAGCATTACATTGGGTCCCAGCAATGTATCAACTGTAAAGAAGATTTTTCAAAGGCACAAATGGCTTTCAGGGGAAGTTAGGAGCCTGACTGACATTTGCGCCTTGTAAATTTGCCACTCGAAAGTTCAGCAAAAGCTTTATATAAATACTCCATTCTCAAAATTTAAGGGAGTTCTCAACTTTAAACTAGTTAATGGGGGTTAGAGATTTATTAACTGTTGAAATTAGTATCTTAAGATGTTCAATGTGGGTTAAAGAAAAAATATTTACCCCTTCTAGTTAGATGAGAAATTTTCTAAATCCAGTTTCCAGATGAACAGCTGCGTTATCTATTGTTTACAGTACAGTCTGATTCAGCCTTACAGTACAAATTGCTTTTAAATCTGAAATAGAAATGGGGTGGTCTAAATGTTATTTGTTCAGCTGGTGACTACTACTAAAAAAAATAATAATTCACAATTCTACAGCATTTTTCAGCTGAGGACCACTTTACAAAATTAATTAATTCTTGCAACATCCTTATAAGGTAAGAGCATTATCTCCATTTTAACTGGGGAAACTGAAGCACAAAGGCTAAATGACTTGCCCAAGACCACAGAACCAAAGTCTTGTAGAGTTTGGAACAGAACCCGGATTTACACTGTTTGTTGTAAAATGTTTTGTGATCCTCAGCTGGAAAATGCTGGTCCTTATGTGGGGCGTGACAGCAGAGGCAGATTAAGATTTATTGGTGCCCTGGGCACAAAGAACATTTGGGCCCTCCACACCCTGGGAGCCCAGGGTGGGCAGAACCAAGGGGGGGGGGGGCAGGGAGGGTCATGCCCACTCACTTTTTAACCTGGGCATAGTAGCCTTGGGCAGACACACAACAGCAGCGGTATGGGTGTAGTTTGGGAGTTGGAGGGCGTTGCCCGCCCCCACCCCCCAACTGCAAGTCTTGAGCCAAAGGCGACAGGAGGAACAGTGCCTCACATGGTTTCTGCCTTGGGGACAAAGCCCAGCCAGCAGCGGGGGGCAGCCTGGCAGCGGGAGCCAGAAATAGGCACTGAGCGAGCCCAGGTGGAGTGCAGCAGCCACTGAGGCCGGGCCAGTAAGCAGCGGGAGCTATACCAGAGGAGCCCGTCCTTCTTGGCTCCTCGCTGCCTGTGACCTTCCCGGGGCTCCCCAATTCCTCCCAGCCTGGGGCAGGGCCTCCTCTCCCCGCAGAGCGTTTCTGTAGGCCCCAGGGAGAGTACAGGAGGCTGAAACAGAGCCTCCACCCCTAGGTCCCACTAGGAGTGGCATGCCCTGGGGGATGGGAATACAGGATGGGAGCTGGTCTCAGGCACCCTAGCCTCCACCCACAGCAGGTGGAGGGTCTGGGGCTCCCCACAGCAGCCCAGTCTCCCTGGGCAGCTCTTACCACTGCCTACCTCTGGCTTTTGGCCTGGCCAGAGGGCAGGGCCCCGGGGGAAGAGGAGGAGCATGGCCACAGTTCTGGAGCTGGTGGACCCCCCACTGCTAACCAGATTCCAGCACTCATGTGGGAGCCCCCAAATTTCCTGCATGAAAGGGGTATGTGGGCCAAAATGAAGAAAGCTTAAAGACTATGTATTCAACCTCCACCTTCCTTTTCCTTCCAAAACATCACTTCCTTCAGCCCATATAATGGGTATTTCCAAGTTATTCTGGAACAAGATCTATTGTATGCTAGTATAGAATGTTGACTCCTTATCAAGCTAGATATAGTTGAAACATAATATGAAATAATAGTTCATTGCATTACAAGCTTGTAAATAAACTATCATAACATTATGGAAAATGTGTGTACAGGAAATATTCGTTACCCCGTAAAATCTATAAAAACTAGATGAGTTTTCAGTATCAATGGTAAATGCAATGAACACATTCCCTATACTTCATGTGATAAACAGCAGACATTAATATGGGAATTATTTTAAACTGAAAACCAAGTATAACTTGCAACTTCTCTTTCATGCCTGTATGCTTCTGCACTCAACTACAGATTGTCTCCTATTTTCATCTCAGTCCATCCCTTTCTGACTTAGGTATAAAATAAAGCAGAAAGATGCTCACTTGTTTGCAGGTTCACAGGGTATAGTAAACAGCACACGTGTTCAATAAATTATTTGTGGTGTATTTTTCCAATTTTTTAAAGTATAATTTTGATAAACGATAAGGCTATTTTAAAGACAATTGCATGTAGTTTTGCCAGATTATAAGATTGCTTCTCACAATCTGCTTGAAAATGTCCTTTAAAAGTACTTACACAAGACGATATAATCTTTTCCTTGCCAAATCCTCTTTGCTACATTTGACACTGTAGATCATCCTTTCCTTTTTGACATGTTATCCTCACTGAGCTTGAGATATCTCCTCTCCCAGTTCTCCTGTCTCTCCAACCATTCCTTTAACGTCTCTTTTTGTGGCGCCTCCTCTTCCTCCATCTATCACCACCACTCCCCCTTTTTCTATCATCTCTGTTGATGCTGTCTTCCTTGTCCTTCAAGCTCACAACTGGGAAATTATTTTTTACTCCATCCCTCTCCTTTGCCTACACAGCCAGGTTATTTCCAGACCCTGATCCTCTTCCTCGACATCTTCAAAATCCACCCTTTTCTCTCCAACCTCAGAACCAAATCTATCATTCTGTTCCTTTCTATATCACACCTTGACTACTGAACAATCACCTCTGAGCCTTCTTCCATGTGTTCCCCTATGTAAGGCCTGGGCTACACTAGCAGGGGGCGGGGGGTGGGTTCAAACTAAGATACGCAACTGAGGCATCTTAGTTCGACTTGCCGCCGTGAGGACAGCCAGGTAAGTCGACTGCCGCGACTCCCCCGTCGACTCCGCTTACTCCTCCTGCCGAGGTGGAGTACAGGCATCGATTTGCAGCTCGATTTATTGTGTCCAGACGAGATGTGATAAATCGATCCCCGATACATCGAACACTACCCACTGATCCGGCGGGTAGTATAGACGTACCCTAAGATACAACCTTCCTATACTCATCTCAGTCCCTCCCCTATCCACACACATTCCTCTTAAAGTCCCATTTCTGCCTTCAGGCCTATAGCAAACTTAACTGATGTCTATAAAATACCTTAGACAGATTATGGGAAGAGGACCAGTACTATCTGTTTTTAAACTGAGCTCAAGATAAAAACAGCTCTTCTAAAACTAAGAAAAATGTCTAAGGGCATGGCTAGGCTTGAGAGTTAGAGGGCAATAAAGCAGCCCTGTGCACTCTAACTCACGATGCATCCACACTGGCAAGGAACGTGGAGCGCTCTGATTCCGTGGCTAGAGCGCTCCCAGTAATCCACCTCGGCAAGTGGAATAACGTTTGAGGCGCCCCCGCTGGAGTGCCGCGGCACCAGTGTGGATGCCCTGGTCTGTTAATGCACTCTGATTGGCCTCCAGAAGTGTCCCACAATGCCTGTTCTAGCCACTCTGGTCATCACTTTGAACTCTACTGCCCTGCGCTCTGGGAATTTTGAAAATCCCCTTCCTGTTTGCTCAGTGAATCTTTCCAGGTGACCATGCCTCCACATGCCAGGCGATCCCCAGTATGGAGCAATGGTGAGGTGCTGGACCTCATCAGTGTTTTAGGGGAAGAAGCTGTCCAGTAGCTGCGCTCCAGCTGTAGGAATTATGATACCTTCTGACAGATATCAAGGGACATGATGGAAAGGGGCCATGACCGGGACGCACTGCAGTGCAGGGTTAAAGTGAAGGAGCTGCGGAATGCTTACCGCAAAGCCCGCGAGGCAAACCACCACTCTGGTGCTGCCCCCACAACCTGCCGTTTCTACAAAGAGCTGGACTCGATACTTGGGGACGACCCCACCTCCGCTCTGAGTACCACCATGGACACTTCAGAGCCCAATTCAACAAGGCAGGAGGAAGAGGAGGAGGAGGAGGAAAACGGGAGCGAGGGTGCTGAGGTGGAGGAAGACACCCTGGCATCGTTAGATACATGCAGTCAGGAGCTGTTCTCAAGCGAGGAGGAAGGTAGCTAGTCACGGTGGCCGGTGCTTGGGGAAGGACAAACACCAGAGGAGGTGCCCAGTAAGCGGCTTTTAACTTGGGAAGAAAGTTATTTGGTGAGGGCTCTTGGGGCGAGGAGGGTGAGGGCTGCATGCATGCCTAGATGCAAAATAGGGCATTGACGTGCTCTCTCACATCACGGTAATCGGTCTCAGTGATCTCTTCAAAGGTCTCATCCAGAACTTGGGCAATGTGTTTGTGTAGGTTTCTTGGGAGAGCCACTGTGGTTAGGGTGACCAGACGTCCCGATTTTATCAAGACTGTCCCGATATTTGCTTGTTTGTCCCAGGTCCCGACCGATGTGCGGTCGGGACACTGGACAAACAAGCAATTTTGCCCTCTCGGAAGGGCTCTCTCCCCCTGACTCCACCCCCTCCTTCCCCCATTGGCTTCCTCCCCAAATCCCCGCCCTGGCCTTGCCTCCTCCCCAAGCATGTGGCATTCCTCCTCCCTCCCAGGCTTGCTGCTGTAATGGCGGCGCAAGCATGGAGGGAGGGAGTGGTGTCAGGCTTCCAGTTCCTGGAGCTGGTGAGTACGGGCACCAGGCAGGCAAGGGGGCTGCTCCCCCAGGAGGGAGACATGGGGCTATGGACCCCAGCAGTGGCGGGGGAGAGCGGCTCGGAGCCGCACGAGTGGCCATGTAAAGTCTTATCGGCTTGAGGGTGACCCTGGCCGGTGTTGTCACACCGGCTCCTCGCCCCTGTAGGGGGGTAGCGTCCCTGCCCCGCGCCACCATGTTGCGCCGGCTGCCGCAGGCCAGGTAAGGAGCCAAGTCCCCCCCTCGTCCTGGCTCCTCAGCTGAGCCCGCCCCCCCCGTCACCCTCCTGGGGGAGCAGCCCCCTTGCCAGCCCCCCTTACCCACCCGGTGCTCGTACTCACCAGCTCCTGGAACTGGAAGGCGGCCACCACCCCCTCCCTCCAGGCTTGCGCCGGTATTCCAGCTGCAAGCCTGGGAGGGAGGAGGAATGCCACTCAGCTGAGGAGCTGAGATTGGGGGGGGGGGGGGAGGGAGACTTGGCTCCTTACCTGGCCTGCAGCAGCCGGTGGAACATGCTGGCGTGGGCAGGGACGCTACCCCCATACAGGGCAGGGCAAGGAGCTGGCCAGGGTCTCCCCCCTAAGCCGATAAACTTTACGTGCCCATTCGTGCAGCCCTGAGCCGCTCTCCCCCACCACTGCCGGGGTCCAGAGCCCCGCGCCTCTTGCTCCAGCGGCTCCTTCCCTGCGGGGCGGCAGGATGTGCCGCATGTGTCTGGGGCCCTGGGGGGGGGGCGCGCAGTGGGGCAGTGGCCGCGGCCGGGGCCTGCTAATTCCCACGGCACCTGCAAAA